ATATCTATTTTTTTCTAGGAAAGAAAATATTGATATATATCGCAAAATCGATATTATTACACAGCCCTATTAATTTGTGACTTTTCCAGCACATGCAGTAGCAGCTAACATGCATCCATTTCTCAGAACCATTGAAATAAAAGAAATAAGTACAAAGGATAAACACACAATAAAGTCTCAAAAACTTTACAATTCTAAATCTGAAAGCATTCAAAACTATTTCTCCTTCAAGAGACTATTAATATCTCCTTCACTCTCATTAAAAAATACAAATGAAAACATAAATTGCAAGAATAAAGTAAATGTTAAAGTATTTCAGCTAAATATCTGATTTGAAAAGCTGTTTAAGCAAAGTTGCTACATTTAAAAAAGCAATCCAGTTATAATTACTCCACTTCCAAACAGCAAGTTACTGAGAATCTTGGTACTTGAAGTTCACATTATGCCATAAAACTTGCATGAGTTCTCATGTGAATGGCTAAATTTCTTTTGAGCAAAACTTTTTCTACAGTACCCTCAAGAGAAAGGCTTCTCAGCCATGTTAATCCCCATGGTAACCATATCTGGTAACCATATTATCACTACATCTGACCAGTCTGATACTAACTGATGTATAGTCTTGGCTTCTATTCTTCTCCTGACCGTTATATACATACCTTTGGGGCAGGCCAATTTGTCCCCATTAACTGGTTAATTTAATTTCAGACTAAATAAAGGGAACAAATATACATAACCGTATCCATTCAGTGAACTTTAACAACCTTAGACTTTTGGAAAAACATTATTATTGGCACCCACAATTAATGTTAACAGTGCACCTGTCACTCTTAATATGGCTCTTTTAAATGTCCACTCTTTTAAACAAATATATTATAAATGGACACACACTTATTGAGAGGCTTCTTTCCAGTGTAATGGTTCCTGCATGTGGAACGGTTTCCCAGAGAACCAGAAAATGCTGACGTCTTCAAGAGCTGGCTCAACACCCGACTTTTTAACCATTTCCTGGATCACTTTGAAGTGCTGAAGGATCCTTTATGAATAACATTGATTGACTGATTGATTGATTGATGTGATGAAGTAAACTGGATTTACACACAGAACATTTTCCACAGGTTCCACAAGAGAAAGGCTCCTCACCGGTGTGAACTCTCATGTGAGCAGTTAAATTTATTTTATGAGCGAAACTTGTTCCACAGGTCTCACAAGTGAAAGGCTTCTCACCTGTGTGAATTCTCATGTGATTAACTAAGTGTGAATTGTACACAAAACTTTTTCCACAGGTCATACATGACAAACTCTTTGCACATGTGTGCAATGTCATGTGAGCAGTTAGACTTTTTTTATGAGCAAAACCTTTTCCACATGTTCCACAGGACAAAGGCTTCTCACCTGTGTGAATTCTCATGTGACTGACTAAGTTTGATTCATACACAAAATCTTTCCCACAGGTCCCACAAGAGAAAGGCTTCTTACCAGTGTGAAATCTCATGTGAACAGTCAACTTTTCTTTATCAGTGAAACTTTTTCTACAGGTCCCACACGAGAAAGAATTCTCACTTGTATGAGTCTTCATGTGAGAATTTAAAGAGTTTTTTCGAGCAAAATTTTTTCCGCATGTCCCACATGAGAAAGGCTTCTCACCTGTGTGAATTCTCATGTGACTGTCTAAGTCGGGTTTCCTTCGGAAACATTTTTTACAGGTCCCACATGAGAAAGGCTTCTCATTTGTGTGAATTCCCATGTGATTAACTAAGTGAGATTTAGACACAAAATTTCTTCCACAGGTCCCACATGAGAAAATCTTCTCACCCGTGTGAAATCTCATGTGAACAGTTAAATTTCTTTTATGACTGAAACCTTTTCCACACGTTCCACAGGAGAAAGGCTTCTTAGCTATGTGAATCATCATGTGTTCAAGTAACAGAGATTTACAGAGAAAACCTTTTCCACAGGTTGTGCATGTGTAAGGCTTATCACCTGAGTGAATTCTCATATGAACTTTTAAAGTGTCTTTGTGATAGAAACTTTTTCCACAAGCTGCACATGTGAACGGTTTTTCCCCTGTGTGAATTCTCATGTGATAAATTAAACGACTCTTGCAAGGATAACTTTTTCCACAGGTTGAACATGTGAAAGGTTTCTTGTGATTTCTCATGTGTGACGTCAAGGAAATACTTTGAGAAAAGGTTTTATCACAAAATTTACAAGAATATAGTTTTTGGTTTGGGTGAGCTTTCTTGTGTGTATTCTGTTTTGAAGTCTCAGTTTTGCCTTTCTGCTGTTTGTTCAGGAAAATATCATCAGTCTTCTGTTTCAGCACAAGATGCTCTTCATCCTGACTGATGCCGAGTTGCTTCTCTTCCTCTTTGAACTGTTGAGGTTGTGGTTCCTCTTGCTCCAGTTTTATCTGCAGAGGTTCTGGTTCCTCTTGTTCCTGTTTTATCTGCAGAGGTTCTGGTTCCTCTTGTTCCTGTTTTATCTGCAGAGGTTCTGGTTCCTCTTGTTCCTGTTTTATCTGTAGAGGTTCTGATTCTTCTTGCTCATGTTTCATATTAATAGGTTCTGGTTCGTCTTGCTCCCGTTTTATCCTCAGAGGTTCTGGTTCCTCTTCATCTAAAGTGGAGTTCTCTTCCTGGTTGCTGGGCTCATTCAGAACCTCCTCCTCTTTACACAGACGGCCCTGTGGGAGATCTGGACAAAAAGACAGAACAAAAACTTTTAAATGTGAGTCAAACAACAAACCCTTACCTGCCATTTGGTTATTCTAATATTACAAACTCAACAAATGTTGTTTTTCCGATTAGAAGAAAACTAGACATTAGTCAAAAGGTAATCCTACGGACTTCCGGGTGAGCAAGCTAGATAGTGATCGCTTAACCTAGAGTCTCCTTGGCTAAAAAGTTTCCAACCTCTATGTACAAACAGAATATACATCAAATTGAGCTTTTAGACAAAATGCCTACAAAAACTCAAAACTGCTTTGCCATTTTTATTCTTTATACTGGCAGACTAAGAGATTATACTCCCTGTTGGTGCTGAAACGGTAGCATGACTACATTGAAGGAAGGTGGGTTTTGAGAGAAAAGAAAATAAAGTTCCAGACACTATACTCATCATATGCATCTACAACTCTGCAGAAGAAATGACAAAGGATATGGAGATTCAAAGATTTGCAGGCTGTAATCAACACTTATAAAACTTGGGCTGACAATAATCAAAAGTCATCTGTGGATCAAGCTGTGACAGACGGAGAAGTGGATTTCAACTAAAGCAGAGGATGGACGTAAGAAGAAACTGGACATTTAGTCAAGAGAATGACATGCAAAGTCATGAAGGACAACAACTTTGATCAATTAAACGGAAATTAGATGAATTTATCTGGGGGAGACTGGCGACCTGCCCAGGGTGACCCCATCTCTCGCCCGAAATGTCTCACTGAAGAAAGGCACCAGCACCACTGTTGACCCCACTAGGGCCAAGGGGGTGAGAGAGTGAGACAGAGAGAGAGAGGGCAAGAGAAAAAGCAAGAAAGAGAGGGAGGGAGGGATGGACGGACAGATGGATGGATGTCATGTCTCTCTGATGTGATTTCAACCTGGGGCAACAAAACTGAATGGGAAACGGATTGCTACAATCAGGTAACTCCAACAGAGGGCCCTCCAAAAACAATGGATGTCTGATGGTTTGCCCTAAGTCACTCTCACTAACTGTCCCACCCAGCGTTTCATTTGAACTGGATTCCTGTACTGGATCTGGGAACTCTCTGATTTTGACACAATGCTCGTCCTACAGGAAGCAAGAAATAGCAGTGAAAAATGTCTGTTTTCTGCCACTGGGGGTGAAGCAAATGCAAGGAACACAATAGCGACAAAGCATGAACTATTTTCAGCAGGGTACACATGGAAATCTGGACAGAGTGAATGAGCAGAAAGCGTTCTTCAACAGATTCAGTTCAGCTCACCATCCTCCTCTCATCCCACCAGCCTTTGAACTGCAGCTTTTCTGTCAAACTGCAGATGTTTTATCTTCTACTTCAGGCAAAACTAGTTTTTCAAATCAGTTCCTTGCCAACAAAAAAAATACTTTCCAAAACTTTCCAAACCGAGCCTGATGTCAGTTGCTCAAATCAAAACTAATAATAAAAAAACAGCAAAACATCTGACAATTGCAAGGAATATTTTTGTAATCTTTTAGTGTGAAATAATTACATTCATGTTTTAGCAGTCTATGCAACACAGATTTGGAGAAATGATCTCAATCCTAAAATCTGTCTCGAGTTTTCATACCTTTTATTAAGTTTTCACAAATCCCAAACTGTAATTTACACAATATTTTATAATTACAGAATTATCTAGGTTGTGTATAGAGTTGAGTTTATGAAAACTGGAGAAATAAAAATCACAAATCAAACTGTGTTTTAGGTCATCTGTGACTAATTTAGAATAATTCAGTCCAGGTCTGAGTTGTCAAAAGATGCTTTGCCCCTTTTTCTTACATCACAACCCCATAATCTTTATTCCAGGTTAGACCAGACCCAATTGTATTTGTTTATCCAACCCTTAGAAATAGAGATTAGTGCCTATAAGAAATTTTAATGCTAAATAATGGGATTCCAGTTTGCACACCTTAAGTTTGAACCAAGTGAAGACAAAGACAGATGTTCTACTGATAACATTTTTATGATTTAAAGCACTGCTGAACTATGCCATAGAAATTACCTTTGACTATGAGTGGCTCAATCGGCATTAGCTACTACAAGTGTGTGTGCAAAGCAAAATAAAGATGAATCTAAACAACACATGTTCATGCAGGATCAACCTGATTTACTTAGGTTGCACGTTATTCGATGAAGGTTTCACGAGGTTTGTTTATAAACTACTTGTCTAAGGATAAAAATCATCCGAGTTTTTAACTCAATATCAATCTACCAACAAGTAATAGACTTAGCGCTATAGTTACATGATAGAAAAAGAAAATGCAACCTATAACTTATAGAAAAACCTAACAAACCATCTTGAACCAGTATATTTTTTAACTTGTGGACTTTTTGCCACCTTCACCTCCATATATTAGAGTTTATAATATCTAAACTCTAATTTAGATATTATATGCTGAATAGTAAATAGTCAAGGTAGCAGTTAATCATTGTCATTATCAAGTATTTAATTAATTTCCAGATGGAACGGATTTGTTAATCCTAAAACTTTTTAGTTTGAGTTCAGCGTCACCCCAAACATTTGTCCTTACCTGTCTCCGACTCTCTTTAAACTGTTTCATTAGTAAAAGGTGAAGGTTTTTCGTACCTGTCCGGTTTAAGATGATCTTCGGTATCCGGGTAAAATCCATCATTCTGCGCTGATCCTCCATCTCTTCCTCGATCTTGACGTTGATTTCTTTCAACTCTGTGAATGTTTCTTCAACAGGAGTTTCCTGCTCGTTGATAAACTCTCTCTGAGACTGAACTGAAGACATTTTTACTGCAAATATTTACCCAAAACACCAAATCCGTCTTCGAATTACCTTCTAACAAAAGAAAGCTAAGCTACCGTGTGCGTCGTGTAATTCCGTGTGTTTCACTGTGGCTGTACTGAAGAAACTGTAAACGATTTACAAGTTCCGCTTTGAATTTTCGTTGAGTCTTCTCTTTTTATTGTAAGTTATTTTAAACAAATTACACTATTTTGGAATTGAGTTCCTAAAATAAGTAAAAATTTAAATAATACTTTAATTTACGAACTATAAATGTATATTAAAAGGTGACTCGCAGCGGATCTTATATATCGTTCGCAGTTTATTCAGGACAGTCACAGTGAAACACGCGGAAGACGTAAACAGAGCACACAGGATATAGTTAGCTTGTCTTCTGTTAGACGGTTGTTTGAAGACGGGTTTGAGGTTTAGCTAAATATTTGAGTATCTGCAGTGAAAATGTCTTTAATTCAGTCTCAGAGAGAGTTTATCAACGAGCAGGTAACTCCTGCTGAAGAAACATTAATAGAGTTAAAAGAAATAAAAGTCAAGATCGAGGAAAAGATGGACGATCATCGCAGACTGATGGATTTTACCCGGATACCGAAGATAATCTTACACCGGATAGGTACGAAACACCCTTAAATTTTACTTAGGAGAGTTAAAAACAGGTTAAAGACAGCTAGAGACAATATATGAATTTTTTTGGGCCGACACTGAACTCAAACTAAAAGACTCAGCAAAATCAAACCAGTTCCTGCCGGAAATACATAAATAAATGAATAACAAATACTTAGAATGATGAACTCTGACCTCGACTATTCGCTATTCATTATGTAATATCAAAATTACAGTTTGTGTTCCGTGACTCCCTCTTCTTTACTTCACCAGTTTAGGAAAGTACTGGTTAAAGTTTGTTCTTGGAAAAGGTTAGTTTTACTAATAACTAAAATTATTAGTTTATGATTAGTTTTATGTTTAATCTTATATTTTATTATTGTTTGGATCTGTTCTGTGTCAAATTATGGCTCTTATTTGTATAAATGTAGAAAAAAATCTGTTAAGTTTTGATTGAAAAATGAATATTGATTATGTTAAAACTCATGGAATTTTAACAATGGATAAGTTGTTTTAAAACTATAGACTCAAAATTAATACCAGAGACGATGACAACAATGGTTCTCAGCTTCTGGAGAGAGAGAATAAAAGGTTTGAAGGAAGGGTGAAAGACTCAATCCTTGCCTAAAACAGAAAAAAACAACTCTGAAATGAGGAGGAAGGTTACGGTTTCAGCTTCCAAGTATCTGCAAATTTGTTTTGAACCTAATTTAAAAGAAATTACATGAGCATTCCCACCATTCCACTCCAAACAAAAGAACCAAAGGAACCAGCTGGGGATGAGCTAGTTGCTGATTGACGTCTAACTGGGAATGAACTGAAGAGGATGGACCTCCATGACCTGAAAAGGAAAAACGATCAGATTCCAACACCAATTTGCTGCTCTGCAAAACTTTGTCCTCATAAGATTCCCTGGGATTAGCTGAATATAGATTAGCTGGAAGTTGATCTTCTTTTCTCTCAAAACCTTCTTTTAGTGTATTTAGACATCAGCGTTTCAGCACATTCAGTGGTAATTCTGGTCGGCTGTTACTGTTTTTCAATCCTTCTTATTGCCATGCCATTACTTAATCTTGTGTTAATCTGCAAATTTCAATAGCTGAGATTCAAAAGCACTTTAGGTTTTGCTTTAGGCCTTCTGAGTATTTTATATGATGTATAGTCTATCTACATAGAGGAAAGAAATATTTAGAATATTCGCTGGGGAGATATTAGGTTAAGTTTTCATCATCTTGTTTGCTCACCCAGAAAAATTAACTCCACTCTCATCTAGTGGAGTTAATTTTTCAAACTTATATGTTTTTAATTTAACAATATTCCAAGAAAAATTAAATGGATTAAAATGCAGGTTTTGAT